CAAACTAAGTTCAATATCTCAAAAAGTGTAAAATATATCAAAAAACTTGTATACAAGTGTTATAGCTGAAGGTATTGTGATCATTTGAAAGTTGGAATGAAGTGTCTGGCTGAAATTATGTGGAAGGAGAAGCATTTGGCGCAAAGTGTAGGAAAAGTGGATTTGAAGGCATCTCCCATTGACTTCAATGTTAAAAAAAAAAGTTTAAAAAGCTGAATATTTCAAAAACTTTTAAATATTTTGAAAAAGTAGAAGGTTTCCCATCGATTACTGAACAGGCTGAATAGTTTAATATTTGAATGGTTTCTGTAGTTGAAAATAAGCTGAAGTTATGGAGAGCCAAAGTATTGGCTGAAATAATTTGTTTAAGAGGAACTAGAAAATGCATTTCCTGCAGAAAATGCGTGCGAATGCTGTAAACTGTGAACATTTATGGCTGAATTTAGCTGAAAATGCAGAAAAGCTGAATATGTTATTAGCTGAATGGTAGCTGATTTTAGCTAAACAAAATGCAGAAAAAGCTTAATATTTAAAAGAAAAGGTTTAAAAAAAGGTATAAACAACAACATGTATAGCCTTGATGTCCTGAAATAGCTGAATAATGTAATAGTTGAATGGGTTATGCAGCTGAAAATAGGCTGAAGGAGTTAAATATCAGATGTAAGTAGTAGTGAATGAATTTGTATTAAGATGAGAAAAGAAAGTAAAAAGGCTTGGGAAAGCAGCAGAATATTTGAACTGTAAACTTTTGAACTAACTTGATGGTGAATTATCTGTCGCCATGGCAATGGCATTTGATGACACCCCATAATACGCTTAGATGTGTTGATGGCTGCATCGTTACCAAACCTGTGACGTTTTGGGCCATTTACAGTATTTTAACTGAAGTTGAGAAAACCGTGTTTCAAGGCGAGCATTGTGTTGCCATGGCAACAGCATTTGAAGAAATCTCAAAACTGTCCCTAAGATGTCTTCACGGCTGGACTGTTGAAGTCTGCTGCATGTCAGTTGGAGTGATGACATCATCGTGTTCCATTACACAGGTGTTTATAGTTGAACTAACGAGCTCTGTAGAGATCACAGGTGTCCATTGTTCTGAATGAGAGATAAACCTCTTACATGTGAACGTTTTGTGGAAGAACCGTAACAGATATCTGTGAAATTTCAAAACGTGAAGTATGTCAAGGAAGTTGAGTATCTGAAGTGTAATTTTTGTGTAGTTTCGGGTTAATAATGCGGCCTTTTTGGCAGTTTAACTAAAGGTGTGCGGCTGCTACCGTGAGGAAATATCTGCCTGAAATTACAATGGGCTTCAATGGAGCAATGTTGAACGTTTTTGTCACTTCATGCCCTCAAGAGGCATTTTGTTTAATATTTTTTCTTATTTTTATTTTATTTTTCAACTAGGAGAGGTTTTCCTACGTTTTTCATGAAAAAATATGTCTGAGGAGTGTAGGGTTTGGGAATTATGGCAAGTTTAAAACATTTTTGTGGGAGAATTTCAGGCACTGCTGCACCCTGTTTTGAGATCAAAGCACTCTAGAGTTAACGAGCTGCTCCATCCACTCTAATGTTAAAATCTGAAAAAGGCCTCTCTACCAAGCTCCAAACTAAATTCAATATCTCAAAAAGTTGAAAAGATATCAAATCTTTTATACAAGTTTTATAGCTGAAGGTATTGTGATCATTTGAAAGTTGGAATGAAGTGTCTGGCTGAAATTATGTGGAAGGAGAAGCATTTGGCGCAAAGTGTAGGAAAACAGGATTTGAAGGCATCTCCCATTGACTTCAATGTTAAAAAAAGAGTTTAAAAAGCTGAATATTTCAAAAAGTATAAAATATTTTGTAAAAGTTGAAGGTTTCCCATCGATTCCTGAACAGGCTGAATAGTTTAATATTTGAATGGTTTCTGTAGCTTAAAATAAGCTGAAGTTATGGAGAGCCAAAGTATTGACTGAAATAAGGGGAAGAATAAAGATTTGAAAAACTATAGTGCGAATGCTGTAAACAGCATTCGCACTAACTAGAAAATGCATTTCCTGCAGAAAATGCGTGCGAATGCTGTAAACTGTGAACATTTATGGCTGAATTTAGCTGAAAATGCAGAAAAAGCTGAATATGTTATTAGCTGAATGGTAGCTGCTTTTAGCTAAACAAATGCAGAAAAAGCTTAATATTTCAAAGAAAAGGTTTTAAAAAAGGTATAAACAACAACATGTATAGCCTTGATGTCCTGAAATAGCTGAATAATGTAATAGTTGAATGGGTTCTGCAGCTGAAAATAGGCTGAAGGAGTTAAATATCAGATGTAAGTAGTAGTGAATGAATTTGTATTAAGATGAGAAAAGAAAGTAAAAAGGCTTGGGAAACTTTTGAACTAACTTGATGGTGAATGATCTGTCGCCATGGCAACGCATTTGATGACATCCCATAATACTCTTAGATGTGTTGATGGCTGCATCGTTACCAAACCTGTGAAGTTTTGGGCCATTTCGAGTATTTTCACTGAAGTTATGAGAAAACCGTGTTTCATGGTGACCATTGTGTTGCCATGGCAACGGCATTTGAAGAAATCTCAAAACTGTCACGTAGATGTCTTCACGGCTGGACTGTTAGCACACATGTGAAGTTTGAGCACTTTTTGAACATTTGCATAGGAGTTATAGTGACATCATATTTTATGGCGAGGGATGCGTTTCCATGGAAACGGCATACGGTGAGATCCCAGATTTGGCGTAGAGCTGTTGAGGCATAGACCGTGTTTCATGGCGAGTGGTCTGTCGCCATGGCAACGACATTTGATGACACCCCATACTACGCTTAGATGCATTGATGGCTGCATCGTTATCAAACCTGTGAAGTTCTGGGCTGTTTGGAGTATTTTCACTGAAGTTATGAGAAAACCGTGTTTCAAGGCGAGCATTGTGTTGCCATGGCAACGGCATTTGGAGAAATCTCAAAACTGTCCCGAAGATGTCTTCACAGCTGGACTGTTGAAGTCTGCTGCATGTCAGTTGGAGTGATGACATCATTGTGTTCCATTACACAGGTGTTTATAGTTGAGCTAACGAGCTCTGTAGAGATCACAGGTTTCCATTGTTCTGAATGAGAGATGAACCTCTTACATGTGAACGTTTTGTGGAAGAACCGTAATAGTATGGAGAGCTAAAATATTGGCTGATTTGAAGGCTCTTCCCATTGACTTCAATGTTAAAAAAAGAGTTTAAAAAGCTGAATATTTCAAAAAGTATGAAATATTTTTTAAAAGTTGAAGGTTTCCCATCGATTCCTGAACAGGCTGAATAGTTTAATATTTGAATGGTTTCTGTAGTTGAAAATAAGCTGAAGTTATGGAGAGCCAAATATTGGCTGAAATAAGTTTAAGGGGAAGAACTAGAAAATGCATTTCCTGCAGAAAATGCGTGCGAATGCTGTAAACTGTGAACATTTATGGCTGAATGTTACGTTCCCTCTTGGCTAGGGGTACAAAAGGGAAACGACACGACCAGATTGGATTTGGTATATGTTACCGGTGGTTTTATTTGTAACGGCAACTGAGTAAATGATGTACACAAACAGCTTGGCCCAACAACGGGTCAATCTGTCACTATCTCACAACAGGGTCTCCAAAAGAGAGTTGCCCAGTACTATACAAAAGGAAAGGAAATACCTCACTTCTAAAGTGGAAACAAAACAATAACAAAACGGGACTGTGGGAAAACACAACTGGTGCGGGTCTACAGGTACTAATCACCTGGATCTACGCAATATACCCACAGGAATGCTGGTCTACAGGTGCTAATCAACCTGGATCTAAGCAGTATACACACACAGGAATGCTGGTCTACAGGTGCTAATCACCTGGATCTAAGCAGTATACACACACAGGAATGCTGGTCTACAGGTGCTAATCACCTGGATCTAAGCAGTATACACACACAGGAATGCTGGTCTACAGGTGCTAATCAACCTGGATCTAAGCAGTATACACACACAGGAATGCTGGACTACAGGTGCTAATCAACCTGGATCTAAACAATATACACACACAAACCCTATACTAACACAGAACCCGATGACACGCTGCTCATCAGTGTGCTCGCCCAGAAACCCTACTGAATACACTGCTAATCAGTGTAGCTAACACAAAATGCACACGGCTAAACAGTCTCAGAAGTCACAGAACGAAGGCAATGTCACAATGCGAGGGTTGAGGCGTCTGTCACACAATACAGAGCCTCCCGAATGGTATCCATGCCCAGCCTTTATACTCCTCCCCCGGATGACGTGGCAGAAGCGAGCAGGGCTTGGGTGACGTCGGTCCAATCCCCGCGGATGTTGCGAGGTCGAGACGGCCACTGACAGCATAGGAACTGCCCAGCTCATTTGCATACACACACAAACAGAGTTAAGGGCACAAGGTAGCAGCGGCTGTAACACTGAATTTAGCTGAAAATGCAGAAAAAGCTGAATGTGTTATTAGCTGAATGGTAGCTGCTTTTAGCTAAAAAATGCAGAAAAAGCTTAATATTTAAAAGAAAATGTTTTTAAAAAGGTATAAATAACAACATGTATAGCCTTGATGTCCTGAAATAGCTGAATAATGTAATAGTTGAATGGTATCTGCAGCTGAAAATAGGCTGAAGGAGTTACATATCAGATGTACGTAGTAGTGAATTAATTTGTATTAAGATGAGAAAATAAAGTAAAAAGGCTTGGGAAAGCAGAAGAATATTTTGACTGCAAACTTTTCAACTAAAACCATACGTCACCAATAATGTATAAAATATGTGGAACCTGTTGAAGTCTGTATGAAGTCTCCATCAGACAGAAAATAATAGGCTGAGACAGTCT